TACAATGAGCAGGCAAAAGGAAGCAACCTATCAGAAGATGAGAGATGAGGCAGCTGCCAATCAGGAAGCTGAGACCCACCCACTTCTATCCAGCTCTAGTTACACAGTAAGAGGACTCCCAACTGTTGGATATCTAGATGCTGTGGCTGACACTAAAAGTGGAGGAGGAAGGCATTCTCCCTCCTGCATGTGCTTGCCAGCCAACATACTGCTTCATTCCACATATTTATTCTTGGACTTAACTAGTTATAGTCCCTCCTGTTTAGCCAGCATTGCACTGGCACTTACTGGGATTTTGATAGGCCTCCCAATCTAGCACTTCTACTTTCCAAACTCCCACCACCACCACCACCTTCCAAGTACTTGGTTTGTTAGTTACTAAAATATTCTTTTGTACTGTTTGTCTCAAGGGCTGTATTAACAGCAAGGTAGCAGTGGCATGAAAGCACTAAAGATACAAAAAGCAGAAAGCAAAAGGATCTATACAGTGTGATATTGAATTAAAGAATGCATTTTCTAAGACGGAAACTTTTACTCATGCAAGAAAAGGAAATGCCAATTTCAAACAAAAATTAAAAATTATCTGAATACTTTTGTTGAAGAGAATTTTTCTGCTTTGACTTTCTTAAAACATTTTGAGTTTGATTTTTTTCCAGAATACACAATGAGCCTGAAGCCTTTGCTCACTTATATCTATTTTAAATGTTTCATAGTTTTAAAATATGATTAGATCAATATCATGAGGGTTATTGAGTTTATTAACAATGTGAAAATCTGAATTCTTCCATTGAATTCTCAAAGCTAATATTTGTAGATATCCTCTGCAACGTTACTCTGGCAATGCTACTTTTATCATTTCCGTTACTAACAGAGTACATGTGCTAACCTTACTGTGGCATGTTACCGAGACTGAAAATGAGACTAGTAAACCAAGTCCAGTCTTTACGAACCAACACGCTTTCTCTAGAAATAAACTGTGCTAACTCTGTCGGAACTGTGGTCTCCTGGAATGCATCCAAAGGAGTCTAAACACCATCAATCTTGAGACCATCTATCTAGAGCTCCCCTCCTCAATTAGTAAAGCCTCAACTTTACAAGCCACTAACCTTTAATTAAAAATATAAAGGCTAGGTAGGGATGGCATATATCTGCAGGGTAGAACACAACTTTTCCAATTGGCACTATAAATAAACCCAGGTGCTGAACTATTTTAGGGAATTTCAAACCAGAATTGAGACTACAGGCAATTAATAGCCTGATACTCAAGATAAATTGACCCCTCTCAATTAGCTATAATGTGAAATGTTTCAGCATTTGCTCCCTACCACAGCATTACTGTGGCATTCAGTTCAGTTGCATTCTTATGCATCCAAGCCAAGGGGAAAAAACAGGCAACAAAGGGTTAAAAGCTGTAGCATTCAAAAGTTAAATTTTTAGGCGCCAAGTCCTTGGGGAAGAAAAGCTCCTGTGAGCACTGCCCCGCCATCTCATCACGAGTGCATTTGAGAGTCCATGAGGGAAAATAGTGTATTATCACTGCAAGGAGAGATAAAATTACAATGCCAAGCAAAGTTGCACGGGTACTCACAAAGCGCCAGATTAATATGAAAGCACAAGAACTTTGTGTCCTTAAAGCACCCTGCGCTATGTTCAAAACTGGTTCACGGGCTTCATTGATGGATAGTTCTCTAGATATTTTTCTGCTTTCAATCAAGTTGGCAGAGATCTTTCTCTTTTTGCCAACTATTCATTCCTCCACCTCCCACATTGTTGTAAGACTGATGATTTGAACTCCTATGGTTTTGACAAAACAATCCTGAGGTACGCTGTTGCTAGTCTGATGGGCATTCAGCCAAAAAAAACATTGCTTTTATGTCCTTTCTGCAAAAATAAATCAATTCCTACACAAGCCAAGCACAAGCGTGTAAAACGGAAAAGGTCTCCAATGTGAAGATGCTAGAATTCCATCTAATAGCTGTTCCAAGGCACATGCCAGTTATCACATTGGAAAGGCTGAAGAAAATTCATGAGAAACAAGACTTTACCGTTGTTTCATCTTTACAGTTCTCTCCTCTATCACTTATCTTTCCATACACCAATCACTTTGAGAAAATGAAAGCAGTTACACAAATGTAATGGGTCTTATAGAAACTTGCTAATATATAACAGTAGTTGCAGATACTTTTTTTTCTATACAAGAGATATTGGAGATCATATGTTCATGGGAGAACTAAATCACTCTGGGACCAATTATAGACGATCTTTTGCCCAATGGACCCAAATGGGGCAGTGCCCTGGTCCTACGAATACCCTAAATACTGTTGCCCATTCAGGCCCCCCCTTACCTGTGTTATAGACATGCAACTCATCCACGATGCCCTCATTGCCCCCTCCGAAGACCACAATCAGCTCTTTGATTGCCACAGCTCTGTGTCCATGTCGGGGCCGAGGCACAGGGCCTGACCACCCAATCACACGCTTCCAGCGGGGCTGCAGCAGCCCTGCAGTGGCCCCAACACCTGTTGGGGAGCCCCCACTAGGGACAACAGGAGAGGCCATAGAAAGCACCTCCTCACTCTCAATAAGTAGCCTTTCTAGCAATCAGTCCTCTAAAACAGCAGAGTCGTAAGGGCTTCCTTATCAGTTCTGATTCCCAAGCGGTGGCTCAAAAAAGATCCCCCTAAGCCACATGCACTGTATCTCTTCCGAGGTAAGACTGTTCGTGGAAGCAACACCAGATTTACTTTCTTCAGAGGACAAGAGCAAAGCAGTCCTCCCCAGTGAGGCAAGACGCCCACGATCCTTCTAACTACTATGACACCCCCTCACCCCGGGCACCGGGTCACAGTCACCTCCTTTGCTGCAAACAAACTAATTCGGAGTAGTTGTGAACAAGAAAAGTAAAAAAATAAAATATTCCCCTCCCCCCTCCCCCCCCCCAAAAAAAAAAACTCTTGGCGGGACAAGTAGCTGCCCTTTTTATTTCGTGAGGCAGACACAGCTTAGAGGCATACCCCGTTACTGAAAAACTCCTAAGGCTCCCTTTCCGACAATGAGTTTCGATGACCGTATTTCTCCCCGCACGACCGGAATACAGAAATCTCTATGGAGCAGACACCCACCCTTGCAATAAGAGAGGGGCTAATACAAAATTACCCCAATTGCCTCCTGCCTTTTCAAAACCAACACCAATTCCCCCTGCGAGGGAACTACCCCGCGTGGGGCAGTTACTCCTCCCCCCTCGTAACAGGGCCCCTCTGCCGCCCCCCTCCGGCCCCCGCTCAGAGCCCGGCCCTGGGAGCCGCCATCTTGTGTTGCCCGGACGGAAAATGGCGGCCGCAGAGAGGGAGAAGCCGCCTCCCCCTCGTTCCCCCACCCGGCGCGTCTTCCCCGCTGATCCTGCCTATTCCCCAGCCCGGAATTCTAAGCCAGGGCGCTCTCCCTCCGGCTTCCAAGCGCAACGGGCAGCTCGATCCAGCCCCGCTGTACGGCACCGATGGGCAAGCTACGGCTCCAGGCGCCTTCACGCCGCCCTGGGAGCCGCCATCTTGCGCCTGTGAGGAGTCTCTCTTCCTCGGCAGCGCCTGAAGGCGGAGCCAAAACGAGGCCTCTGTACGGAACCCCTCCCACTAGGGCGCCGCCATTTTCGGTGGGCAGGGCTGCTTGGGCACCGCCATGTTGGGGGACCGCCAAGTTCCCCTCTTTCTTTTGCGGTGCGTGTGGAGGGCAAATTCTGGGCCGGTTTCACCGCACTTTTTATTATTATTTTTATTCGAAGCTCAACAAGTTTGTCAGTGTTTTTCCCGGCTGTGAGCTGTGTAAACTCTCCGAATGTTGTGTGTGTGTGTTGCCATTTTGAATATAAAACTCCGCCCCTTTTGCATTTTTAAAAAATCTGCTCCTCCAATAATCGGCTTCGCCACTAGGACCGGCCACGAGTGCTTCGGGGAGGTGCGATAGGCCTCCACCTCTCAGCAAGTGCTTCACTGCATAGCAACGCTTATGGGCGCCGCCATCTTTGGGGATAAAAATTGACGCTGCGTTCGTTTCGTGGATGCACGTGAATAATATTTATTGGATGTTCTCGTGTCATCCAGCGGTTAAGACAGCACCTATGACCTACTCATGCTCAGTAATGCACCTGCTCCTATTTTCCGCAAAAGCTATCTTGATTTCTATAAATATTTCTGACCCTTATCCCGAATTTCAAGGAATTAAATAACACAATTCGAGATTCTGGCAGGCTAATATAATATTGGAAATAATAATAAAATTCACGTTTCATGCTTTCCTGGAAGCTGCCATTTTGGATCCTCCCCTTTGCTATTACTATCCCAAAATTTAAAAAAAAAACAAAAAAAAACAACCACATATATCCCATGAAGTTCCCGGATGTATTTCCCTCCCTTTAGAGAATTAAAATGGCGTCTTTCTCCAATGTCCGTATGTCGCCGCCCTGTGTTATGTGAGATTCAATATGGCGATTCTTGTATTCCCGGATGGTGCGGACATATACGCATTCAAGATGGCTGCTTCATAAATACCCGGATGGGCCGAACCCTCGGCAAAAACGGCTCCGTTAAAAATCAAGAAACTTCCGTGTTACGTTCCTGGTACATTTTCCCGATTAAATCAAGTTTTATTAAATCGCCGGATAATAGAAATGCCCTACGCGAATTGCTGTACAGCCCCAAAATGGCGCCACCTGAAATCTCTAGCGGGTGGCGGTGACCGAAAAAGCAACCAAGATGGCGAACGCTGTACGTATCGGGAATCAAGATGGCGCTCACGTGCTCAATTACCCGGATGTTGAAGACAGGAACTGACAATGACGCATTAGGAATAAAGAAAGAACAAGCGGGCTGTTGTGACGCCGGTTTTTCAGCATGACCAAAGCCGTTGATCGAAGAAGCTGCAAAGATTGGTCTACTCAAGTTACCGGTTCAGCTGTTCAGTTACAAAAACACGGATCCGTAGGTGACTTATTTAAATTATCGCTATCGATTTTTTCTTGAATGGAGAAAGATGCTATTACGAGAACATACAGACATTAAAATAATATGATTTTAACTATTTTAGAAGTTTTCCTCTGGAGCTCGCCGGTCTCAATGCGCAGGCGCAGAGACCTCTCGCTGATAGGCCCTTCCCGGCTGCATCTGGGAAGACCCGGATGTGTTGGGTCTGTCCGCCCATGATAAGAAAGCGGTCTTTTTTTGCTTGTATCGCTTGCTTCCTGACTTGCGATTGTCTTCGGCTCTGCACACGTTGGCCTAACAATCAACCCCCGTAAATCCCGAAGGATTCATTTTGGAGTCTCACCTGCAGAGGGTTACGTTGCGCTGAAACCAGTTAAACTTTCCCAATAACCATCAGCCTAGTCCTCTGCATGGTTACTTGGAAGTAAGTTCAATGGGGCTTTTGTCCAAGTGAAGTCAATTCAGAGTTGAAAGCTTTGCATATTTATTATTATATAGTAGTGTAGGATTTTGGCGTGAAGCAGTAATTTAGAGGTACTGCGGCCTTAATATATCGAGAGAAAATAACTACCTGTATTTTGAATGGTTTCCTGCTTTATTTTTTACTATTGTTTCTCATCATTCAACACTTAAATTCCCAAAGGTAGGGGCTTTTAACCGAATGAATGAATGAATGAATATATATATATATATATATGTGTGTGTGTGTGTGTAATATATATATATTACACATATGCACACATACACATATATATATTATTGATTTTTAAAAACAAACAAACAAAACATAAAAACATAAAACATCTTTTTTGAAAGCAGCTTGATCCCGGGTTACATCTCTTCGTACAGACACAAATTCAAATTCATGTTCATTTTATATACCATTCTATATCTTATTACCATTCTACATTTTCTATATAGCTTCTCTCCTCTTTTAACTTTCTTAATTTTATTTTATTTATTTCATCTCAATTCAGATAATTATACTTATATTCTTTGTCTGTCCTGTTTCCAGCTGTCTATTATCTTTTCTCATTAGACAAAATTTCTCCTGTAATCACTGATTGGAGTATGACGCCTTTATATCTTTCCCCTAAATTTATAACATTTAGTATAATACATAACTTCCATTCGGATTCTGCTTAGTGCATTCTAAAGTTACACACTATATTTTAAAAAAGAGAAAAAATTATAAATATATAATATAATTAAAACAACAATCCATACCAGTTCAAATCTATTGTTAAACACATTACTTTTCAAATAGTATCATACTAAATAGTATGATAGACACTAAATAGTAACCCCAGCAAGAGAAAGTGAAAAAATAAGAAAGTGTTAAAAGAAACAGCTTGTGTGTATTTGGATTGCTTGGTGACTTTGGGACTTTTGGAAATTATATTTGAATGACTAAAAACACTTGGGTGGTTGTTTGAATTTTTTTTTACAATGGCATCACTTGTGGATGAACTGAAAATGGAATTTAAAAAATATAAAGAAGAGGAACAAGAAGGGAAGGGCTCTGTTGGCTCTGTTTTTCAATTCTTAAAAATGGCGATTTGTACTTATGAGAAACTACAAGAAAAGACTGCGCAACAAGAAGATTGGGACAAAGAAGAAGCCATCTTTGACGAACAAGTAACTTTACTTAGGGAAGAAAGGGGAAAGGGGGGAAAGAGAATGGAGACTTTAAGACCCCAAAAAACAACCAAAAAAGGGAAAAATAAGATGAAAAGTGGATATAATGTTAGAAAGCAACAGAAAAGGGGAACACAGAAGAGGGAAATGGAGGTGGAGAGACAAGGGGGTAAAAAGGGCAGAGAGAAGAAGCAAGGGAGGAAGGAAGGGAAGAGAAGCTACAAAGATGTGGAGCAAGATGTAAAGAAACAAGACTTATTTAGAGATAATGGGTAAAAATTTAACTGAAAAAGTGATTCTGCAAAGGTACATAAGATTGTATTGTTATATTTGTATTAGAAATAATGTTAGAAAATTGGAAACAACATATGATTAAAAAGTGGGATAAAATACTCAGTGTAATTCAGTGAAACTTTTGTGAACAAAATAAATGAAATGAAATAAATGAGAGAATTGAACTAGGAAGGAATGGGAACATTTTAATGATATAATGTTTTAAAATATGACTGAAGTGGGGGGGGGGGAGTAACTATGGAAAGTTTATAAGTGTTCCCATAGAAGTATGATATATATATATATATTTCTTGCTGAAGACCAAATCCATATATATTTAGGATCAGGAGGTACAATACCTGGAGAGAAATAGGGACCCTTATGAGTTCAAAATAAATAATAATTTTGCTTTGTAAATTGAATTCAGGAGTTTTTCTTCCTTAATAAGTCTTTTTGTGATTTTTTTTCTGTTTAATTTGCACTTTCTTTTTTCCCATACTTTCTTAGTATATACTACTAAAGTTCTTTTGTTTTATTTTTTATTTTTTGTAATTTTCATTGGGCAAGTTTTTAAATCACCATAGCTCAAATTGGCTAACTTACAGAATGCATCCAACATCTGGGACCGATGACTTGTGGGATTGAACTTTGGCAAAATTTTGGCTGCTTCAAATGCTGCTGTGTAGCCATGCTATGGTCAATTGCAGTCACGTAACTGTCCAAAATGAAAGATCAACACTAAGATTCAGAATGTAACTTATTTTAAAAAATAATTTTAAACAACAGAAACTACAAATGGGAACAAGGAGTGGGCTAAATTATAAAGTTGATTCATTTCAATCCCACTATCATGCAAAAGCTTTTTTATATCTTTGGTTGCTTTTATTGTCACCTTTTTTCTGTTTGTTTTATAAAGAGATTGTGACAAGATTGCAAATTGTACCTTTGAAAAGGTTAGGAAACCAAGTCGGATGGCCCAATACAGCTTTGTTAAACAAGTTTTGATTAATTCTCCTTAACTGGTTGGGCATATTTTCTTTTCCTGCTTTATGCCTGCACTAATATTTTATCGTGCTTATGCATAGTATATACTATCTAAATAACATCCTAATGCAAACACAAGAATTTCTCAAATAATTTGCCCTTCTTTGTTTCTCCATTCTGAAATATTTGTTTCCCCTCTTTTAAATATTATGCTTTTTTGGGTTTCCCCTCTAAAGTTGAAAAGCACCCATCTGGAGGTATGGATGACTGCTAAGTATGTGACATCTAGCATAAAAAGTGTAGGGAGAAACTATTGCAGATTGCTGTAAGCCAGGGGTCTTCAAACTTGACAGCTTTAAGACTTGTGGACTTCAACTCCCAGAATTCCTCCTCCAGTCATGTTAGCTCAGGAATTCTGGGAGTTGAAGTCCACAAGTCTTAAACTTGCCAAGTTTGAAGATCCTTGCTGTAAGCATTCATCTGCTACTGTAGGCTGAATACATTTCTGTTTTCACATCAAGTTATGCTATGTGTCATTACTTTAACATAAGTTGTATTGGTTACCCATTTCTTATAGGAAAAATGCCACAGTATATAACTGATATTTGATTCCAGGTGCAATTCAAAGTGTTAGTCATTACCTAGAGACACCTTCATGGCAATCTGAGGGATTATCTCCAGTTGTCTCCGCCCACCTGGTAGGCTCAGGAAGGGTAGGTGTGCTTCAGGTATCTTAAATACTGTCATCTTGTGGGATTATGAAAATGTGTCTTCTCTATCACAGTCTGCCTTGGGGAAAAAGCATTAACCGGAGATACAGCTTTCACTCTCCAGATTTCTCTCCTAGTCACTGGGAGTTGGGTGGCATATAAATTTAATCAATCAACGGTGTTCTGTATGTCCCTTAAGACCTGGCTGTGCTCCTAGGCCTCAAGTTAGAGTAATTGTGTTTTAATTATATATGCTTTATATTTTGTAAATTTCTCAGTATTTTAGTTGGGTGACGTTAGTGCTCTAGTTGCACAGAAATTTTGTTGAGGTTTTTCTATGGACACATATACTGTATTTTAGTGAAAACAGAGGAGCAAATATTTTTTTTTGTTCAGCTGAAATATGGGCTTGACCTCTGATATATTGCAGAATAAAATAGTTCTCTTTTTAAAACATACACACTCATGATTCCACTGCAAAAGTTTATGTATTTATAAATAGTTTATTAGGTATGAAGTAATTGTACTTTTGGCTTGTGCTGTGCCAAATTTCATTATAGTTCTGTCACATCACTTTCTGTCCAAGTCTGTACTTTACCTGAGGATACTTTGAGATTAATTTCCCTATACAAGACGCTTATTTCCTCAACCAGAGCATTTAAAAAATATTTATATCCTATGCGCAACAAGATTTTAGAAAGCTAGCAACAGATCTCTTTTGCAAAACACAAATCCACTGAAGATAACTTAATGTGCTGGGACAATAATTGTGACTGGTTTTTTCTCCTTAAATATGAGTCAGATATTGAAGTATTAAAATAAATGGCAACCATTCATTGACACTTACAGGCTAGAAAAAGCCATGAATAGAAATTGAAAGATTAAGGTTACAGCCCTGTAAAGTAGGGCTCCAGCAGATCTGAAATCACAGCTTATATTGGTAGGGGAAAGACAAGACAAAGCACTAATTGATGTTAGAAAGGTGAAATGGAGGTTTGGAAGAAAACATCAACTGGAAATTCTAACGGTAATTCAAGGAGCCTGAGAAGGCTATGGCAAATCAATCCCAGGCCATCCTGAATGAAGCTGATTTTCCAGATACCTTTCCGTTTCAGACCTAGCTATGGAACGGGAACTACCTTAGTGACCTTGTGGGGTGACCTGCACTGAGGAAAAGACAGGGAGTGCAACACAGGTAGGGCACTTGGCGTTTTGAACCACTGCTAATGTATTGAATGAAGGTCAGTAAACAGCCTTGGTCCAGACAAGATGGAGATGCTGTTTGTGGATGATGCATCTGTCCAGCTGAGTGGTGCCCTACCTAAAGAAGCAGGTTCACAATTTTGGGGTGCTCCTAGACCTATCCCTGCCACTTGATGCCTTCATGTAGTTTTATTAGCTTTGGTTTATAAGCTTTGGTTTTATTAGCTTTGTTTTATTAGATTTGGTTGATTTACCAACTGTGACCTTATTGGACAGTTTTTATAACAGTTATTCACAGACTGGTAATTATGGATCATTGCAATACATTGCACAGAGGCTGCCTCTGAAAATGATCTGCAAACTTCAATTAGTTCAAAATAAAGCAGTTACCAATAGAGGAGAATATTTGCAGCTCAGAGTTGGAATGATGCTCTCTTGTTCATAAAGCAGCTGGACTGCTTAGTCCACGGGTGTCAAACTTGATTGTGTCACGTGACGCATTGCAACGTGACATTTTTTGCCTTTGTGGAGCCTGGGTTGGCATGGCCTGAACATGACTTAGCGGGATTGACTTGATGTGAATTTAGTGAGCCCGGTTCTTTGTGATTTACACAATCCGCCAGTCCATTTCTGATCTCAATTCAAAGTGTTGATTTTAAGGCACTAAACTGCTTAGGAATAGGTTTAGGTGAAGGAGTGCTTCCTCCTGTATGACTTCAAGATTATCAATTGAAGGCCTTCACTCGGGCCTCTCACAAAGTAGCTGAGCCAAACCTCTGCAAAGGGCAAAGACTATTCTGTGGTGGCATTCCATTCCTAGAATTTCCTCCCCAGAGTATCTTGATTGGTTCCCATTAGTAACATCATTTTGGTGCCTAGGTGAATACCTTCGTATCTTCCTAGCTTTGTAACTGCTTTTAATGTATCTCAATTCTTATTCATTCATTCATTTCCTACAGCCGGTCAATGACTCTGGGCAGTTTACAATTCAAAAAAATACAATTAAGCCATTAAAAACATCTCAAAACAATAAATAAACAAAAACATCCAAAATAAACATACATAGCAGCTGAGTTATTTGACCACTTAGCAATGCCGCTAGGAAAAGGGCCCTTGACACATTCAAGGCTCCAGGAACATAGCCAGATTTTTAGGGCCTTACAAAAATCTAATTGTCAGAGCATGTTCCATAAAGCAGGGGCCACTCTGGAAAAAGCCCATCTTCTAGTCCCCGCCAGCCGATGTTCTTTGGCTGATGAGACTTGGATATTGTTTCAGTTTTTGAATAATAGCTGTCTAGTTTATATCATGTTTATAGTTTATTTTATGTTTTTATTTAAATTGCATTTTAATGTGTTTTATTATACATTTCCCAGAAAGCTCCAGCTGTTGGCTGGTTCATACATAATAAATAGTGAAATGTGTTAAAAAATAAAACATGTAATCATTTTTTTTTTTGCAAAATACTTTGGAATTCTTTTACTAATTCATTTTTAAATTTAAGTTGGCTCCTCAAAGCACTTCAGTTCCCCTCTCATTTTTTTAATTTTCCATACAAATGTGCAATATTCATGTAAATACTATAATTGAAATATACATTTTTGGATTGCAATTTTAAAAATGTATAATATTCCTAATTTAATCCAGGATATTATCCTATATATTATTATATAGTTGTCCGTGTGGAGACCTTAGTTCCCATAGATACATGCAATACTGTGGCTAACTTTCTCACCATAGTAATATATTGCTTGGTCCTTCTTTTTAGGTCCCCCTTAAGGATAGTGTGCTTGAGTTTGGTAGTCCATTCTGGTTTTGCATAATACACAATAGCAATAGCACTTAAATTTACATACTGCTTCACAGTGCTTTACAGCCCTCTCTAAGTGGTTTTACAGAGTCAGCATATTGCCCCCCAACAATCTGTGTCCTCATTTTACCCACCTCAGAAGGATGGAAGGCTGAGTCAACCTTGAACCTAGTGGGATTCGAACTGCCAGATTGCAGGCAGCCAGCAGTCAGCAGAAGTAGTCTGCAGTACTGCACTCTAACCACTGTGCCACCATGGCTCTTGCATAATGCACAAGGTTATTATATATTTGCCTAGTTTGTAGATCATGGTGTACATGTAACAAATTACAGTAGCATGATTCATCTATGTTTCAGTGTGGTATACAAATTTGGGCACTTGGGTGAGTGAGTCAGAAAATCATTGTTCAGTGAATTATGAATAAGTGTTATGCAAACACAGCCTCAGTATTATTCATTCAAATCAAGGTTGATTGTGCAAGGATGATCTTCTCTTAGAAGTCCACGACCTACTCTCTTTTTTCTGTACCCTCTTCTGCCAATTGTATCTTTCATTCTCACTCCACTCTCAAATGTTTTGAACCTTTGTTCAATCATTCTGTAACTCTTGAGTGTTGTTTCTGGTGGGCTGGGTAGGGGAAAGCAGGTTGGTTATGAAGAGACATCCACGTCTCTCCAAAATTAGAATTGATGGAAAAGAAAAGAATATATTGTGTTCACTGATCAAAATAGTACATACTTTGGTAGTAGTGTTTGCTGACCTCAAATGGAAATATATGAAAACTTCTGATTCAATTGGGATAAACTAAAATTTAGAAATAATATATAAATATTAAAGTGCTAAAAATGTAAAGTGTTATAATCATTAAATCATAATATTTTACCAAAATAAAGGCAAAAACAAAAATGTACTGACTTATTGTTTTAGATTGGAGTACACTTTTCTTTTTTTGGTAAATAACATAAAATAATATAAAAATTGTCAGAAGAAATGAATTTAAATTAAGTGCAGGTGATGAATTTCATCATAACATTAGCAGTACAGGAACACATGACCTGTGATTTCAACTCTTCCAGAATGGCAGGGACAAAGCCACTCTTTGAAGTGGATTTGTTGGTATCTCCCTTTCAACGAGAGGATGAAAATAGTGTGGAATTATGTTGGTGTAAACAAGTTTATTTAGGAGAGACATTATATTGATGTTCACACTCGGGAGAAGATGCTCGGAGCATTCTCTCTGCAAATCAATATGTTAATTGCTTTGGGGTAACTTTTTTAGCTTTGGGGAAACCCAAAGAATTCAGGGTTGTTTTAGATGGATCATTTTATAATTTTGCTTCCAATGTCATTTCCCAGGCTGAGCAAAAATGAACTAATAATCCGAAGGTAAGCTTGCTGTGATATTTGCCACCTTATTGATAATCGGGGTTCATTCAGCTTTTAATAGAAAATGTGTTGCTAATGTCTCATCACTTCAACTGGGTGCTTCTCTACTTGCTCCTTAGCAGTTCATCCCTTCTGTTTTGAATCTCACATAATTTTTAAATGAATTATATTTTTGTTATTGATTCAGATACTGCAGTAAAATGTAGGAATGGGGCATTATGTAATAGTATTGAGCTACAACATAATAATGAAAAAGCTGGATGCTGTAGTTGAGCAATATTGGGACATCTGTAAGTTTCAAAGACCAAGAAAATTAAAATTCCTGAGCCATGAAATTCCCTGGGTGATTATGCCACCCCTTTTTGAATAAGCAGTTTGAGTGGTTGCAAGCATACAAATATATACTCCCCTCGGCTTAGAGAAAAGATATACAGTACCTGGGCTCAAGAAGACTTCCAGTTGATACTTCTGATCAGGAGGACAACCAGGTGTTTCCTGAATAAAAATCCCCAGAACCTGAAGATAGTGTTCATTAGGAATAGCGATCTATAAACCCATTGGTGCATGGACCATTCTTTACCCATAGCAACTGAGTTTAGGTGGTTTGTGACTGACCCGAAACATTTGTGTTTGGCCCAGATACCAAAATGAGTTGTTTTGTCCTGAATTATGGATTGAAAGCAGAAGAGCAGGAAAAATGGAAGGACATTGGTGAAGGAAGAGGAGGGGGGAGGGGCTATAGCAGAGGGGAAAACAATTAGGGAGATCAAAGGGGGGCAGCTGGTTATCACCCTGGGATTTGATGTGTGGAGAGAAGTGGTGATGTATCCCGGTTTTGTCTTGCATTCCCTGCACTCTCCGGGTTCTATGAAGCTTTTGTATTGGATGGACCATCCAAAATGGTGATCAGAATTTCAGAGTGGATTTTTTCCCTAGTTGAACCAAATAGGCAATGTATTGTATTTTCTGGGTTTAGTTTTGTTTTTTGTATTCCATAATTGGAAGCATTTTCCTGATGCTTGGCTAGGTGGCAGTATCTAGCTGTCTTGGAGTGATCTCACAAAAATAGATAGGTTTGGATACATCTAGTACTTGGATGAAAAGAATCCCAGGACTATATATAGCACATTGCTTTGTGGGACTTGATGGGGTATATCTCATGTAAGTCATGTTGCCAGTCAAACTACAAGGCAGTGGCGAGCAAATTCCATGCTATTGGCAGGAAAACCTCAGGCCTGGTCAATATGGTCATTAGGAGCCAAGCTTGATGTAGAAATAATCTTTTTTCCCCATGTAAATAATGAACAGTTATTACCAAATTAATAAACAACATTGGGTGCAATACCAAAAAATTTTTTGAACGGTGTTTAGAAAATCTGCATTGACAAAATTTCCACCTGTCATTACAAAAGACCACACTGCTTGGATACTATACCAATTAATTACAAGATCCTAGGTTCTTGGGAAGAACTTGACGTGTATGAAAGCCACTAGGTAAAAAATTAGCAGCTGTGATTTCACACTGTTGTGTAGAATATTAATTGAACTTTTCCCCCACCTGAATCTCTTCCCAACTCTAAATTACTTCTGAAATGTCTTTTAAATAATGTCATAGATTTATTTCTAAGACAGTGCAGTAGATGTATGAGAGCAACTTGTTTGCAAGAAAGACTGGAGAACAGAAAGTTTTGTAGCCTGAGCTTAAAGAGCTCTCTAGGCTTACTATTCAGCACTTGCTGTCTCCATGGTCACAAAACAGAAGATCAGGGGAAGGAAACAACCCTACCCCCCCATTTCCCCCACTAAGCAGTGATGTCACCAATAGCCAATCCTGACACTACAGCTGTTTCATAACAGTAAACGCTAGAATTGTGAGTACGTGAGCTGCCAAGAAAACATGCTGGGCCTTTGCTTGAGTAATCTCATGCTGTTTGAGCAGGAGAGGGAGGATGAGTGTTTTCAGCAATGCAAAATGTCACCAAGCTTTCAGGTTTCTAAGAGAAAAGTTTAACTGAACCCACTCACTTCCTGTGCGGCATTAGTGGAGAAAGTATCCAAGCCCACCCTGGGCAGTAAATTCATCTTGGGAAACTAATCAGCTGTGTCATCCATTTCATGCTCTCTTCTTGTTTCTTGCAAGCTATTCTAGGAGGAATGGGACTCCATTCGGATGGCCAGACTAGCAAAGCCAGTGAATAAATAATGGAAAACAAAGCATTTGTATCAGTGGCGGTCATTTGGCAGCGGTGCAGAGAGCGAGACTCAAGACTTTGAAAAAGACAGCTATGAAGTCAGAAGACAGCAAGCCATTCTTGCATGTGACTGGAGGCCTGCTGCTTTGCATACTAGCGGTGGCTTCAGGAATTTTTGATGGCGCTCACACAGATACTGGCTACGAGCATTACGCTGAACCAGTGGTGCCTGGAATGCCAGCTTTCCTTGCTATGCCAGCGAATTGCTTAATCAATTTGGCTTACGTACTTCTGGGTTGGTACTGGTGGCCATCAGGTGACAAGGGTAGGCAGACTTACTTTCAAGAGGTCTTTGCCCTCATGGCACTTTTATATGGGCCTACACAATGGGTCCGGCTGTGGACACAGCATCATTGGGCCGCTGTGTTAGATCAGTTGTTAACACTACCAATTTTTGCTTGGGTCATTATTTGGTGCCTTTTTCTTGAAAATGGGTGGGAACCATATGTTTTTCTAGCCATAGAAGTGACTTCACTGACTAGTTATGCCCTGGCATTGCTTCACACACAAGGTTTTGAGTTGGCATTGAGTGGACATATAATTGCTGTTCTTTGGAGAATACTGAAAGTGCAAAAACATTTTGGCGATGCCAGTTCCATCTGGATTATAGTTCTAGGGATGATGTGTTGCTTTGGTTTTGTAAGCCTCAAGGTGTGGGATCGGGAACTGGCCCAGTGGGCATTCTTCTCTCGACTCACTGGCCATTTTTGGTCCAAGGTATGCGATGTGCTGCAGTTCCACTGTGCTTTTCTCTTCCTTACCTTAATGAGCAGATACCGGCTAAGCTCAGTGAAATAATCTATAACTTCAATGAACAGTCTGAATCAAAGGAGAAACAGTACGAGAACATACTGTTATGCACTGTTATGCAGTGATGGGCTGCTGCGTGGTCACACGGGTTCGGATGAACTTGTGATCATTGGCTGGGCCCGCCCACCTCTCCCTGCGCTATCCTTTCCATATATAACTTTCTGGCTTGTTCCCCCACGCCCACACTGCCCAGCTGAGTTCTGCACTGCCCCTGCTGTACTCACTGGAGCTGCCTGAGTAGATTAACTGCATGTTTGAAGATCCATTTCAGTCCCAAAGGGGTGCAAGCAAGTGCTCACAACCAGCAAACCGGTTGGTAACTTAAGTGCAGCCCACCTCTGCTGTAACGTGGTTTGAAAGGGGGAAAAAAAGTCTGCTAAAATATGCCAGTTTCTTCAAAAAGCTATTGAGCATAGTTGGTGAATTCCACACAGTATCACCCAGTTTATTTTCTGTTGAATAGAATGCTGTTTTTAAAACCATATAGGAGAGAGAAAAGTTGCTGATTTATACAGTAGTCCTCAACTTACAACTGATTGTTTAGTGACTCCGTGAAGCGACAATAACATTGTAAAATCACATACAACTTGCTGAACAATCACCTTGCTTAGCAACAGAAATTCTGGTCCCAATTGTGGTTGTAAGTCAAGGGACTACCTGTAAAATAATTCCATTAGAAAAGTCCTTTCAGCCAATTGGCAGTTTCTGATGGAATACTATGAAGGTTGCATTTCCAAGAGGCCAGTATCTATGGCTTTTACATGGCAGTTTGTTGCAGGTTGTTGACAATTCCATACAACCACACTAAGGTATAAGGTCAGAACCTTTGAAGCACAACTTGTTACAGAGGTGCAGATGGCAGTATCATCTTTAAAAGGGGGGGGGGGGGCTTGCCATACTTTGTCACTGATGAGTCAATAACAATGTATGTTTGGCATGCAAAGATTCAACCCTTGGAATCCCTAGGTCCATGTGGAGAAAGACCAGTCTCAATCTAGGGGAACTGCTCCAGAGCATGATTTGAACGAGAGGGATTATTTGAGAAGTCATTTTCCTTTTATTCTGAATAGCTGGCTTTGCAGGGTCACTGTACCTCAGTTGCTTTCTTTTTCTTTAGGCCTGTGCAAACTGATTTCCTGAGCCCACAGTTAAGTTGGCTACAGGAATATACAGCTAGTTCTCAACTTATGACCACAATTGGGCCCAACATTTATGTGGTTAACTTGAGAATTTGTTAAGTGTGTTTTGCCCCATTTTACGACATTTCTTGCCACAGTTGTTAAGGGAATCAGGCTTCCCCATTGACTTTGCTTCTCAGAAGACTGCAAAAAGTGATCACATGACCCTGGGACCTGCAAAGTATGAACCAGTTGCTAAGCATCTGAATATTGTTCACATGATCATGGGGTTGCTGGAAAGATTGTAAATGGTCATAAGACACTTTTTTCAGAAGCTCAATGTGTAACTTTGAACAGTCACTAAATGAACTGCTGTAAGTCAAAGACTACCTGTATACTTTTATCTAGGAACTTAGTTTAGGGTACATAGCTCTTCCTCTTGTATCCCTTCCCATCATCAGGGTTTGGGCTGAAACAGACTGGCCAAAGCCACACATTGAGCTTCCGTGGCTAAGAATGAATTTGAACTTTCATCTCTGTCCTTTGTCCAAAGTTTAACCTTTTCCTAACAACTTCTCCCTTCACAGTATTGCAATGCAATTATTCAGCATGATTAATATTTAGCATAGTTCAGTTTTGAATAGAAACATGTTACTGCGATGTTGAACTACATTCCTAAAACACATAATGGCTCCATCACAACTGCAGCATAGCCAAAAAAATTCATTGTCAATGAACAAAACTTACCCTTCTGACATATAGATGTTTTCCATTTTTTTCTTTCCCATCTCTTTATTATAATCAACCAAATGTAAATTTGGGTTTTTTAAATTTTTCTCTTTCACTGTGTATAGCAGTACTTTCTTCCTCTTAATGTTGTGGTTTTCTGAATTAAACAAGAACAATTATAAAACGTACCACTTTGATAACCATCTGGTTGAAAGATCAGTAATCCATTGTGTATAATCTTGGGGGTTTATCTTCCACATGGTTTCACAGTTCAGAGTTTCGTGCAGAGAAAATAAGAGGAAGATGATACGAGAGAAAGCAGGTGTTCTCACCTTCTCTGAAAACCCTGATAGGACAAAGATTCTGCTTTCTAAGTTTCCTCTTCTACAGGAGATAATCTTGTTTATAACTATTGCGAACATCTACACCTTGCCATGTAAACCATAAACTAAATGATACTGACAACTTACAAATATATAAAATGTTTTATTATCTACTCAGTGAAAGGGAGCATGTAGTGAGGAACTTGTATAACCATGAAAATCCACATCATCGCCACTCCCATCCCACCAGTTTTAATCTCCATAACTCCAAAGGTGTCTTCCATTTATGACAGATTGCTGGCCTGAAGCCAAATTCTACCAGAAACGTGTCACACTGGTATCAACTAAGGGAACAGGCAGGGTATCCAAAGGAGGATAGCATGACCCTTCTAATTTGCAAAGTGCAGTCAGCGCTATGAGAACTTTGATCCTGTATTGGTTGAATTTGTCACTCAAATTCATCACTCTCTTCAGGTTCACGAGGTGGCCCAGCAAAGCGGTCTGAAGGGAAGAAAGAAAAGAAACTCAGGTTTCAGCCTCTCACAGAATACATTTTTTCCAACTGCTCTTCAGGGTACTGATCTCAGCTAGCAGTGTCTCACCTGTCCCAAAACTGGAATACAGAAATAGCACAATAGGACCATAAATCTGTCTGGGTTGCCTTTAGTCCATCTTTCCCAAAGCCACTCCAAACCTGGTATCCTCCAGCTGTGATTGAGAGTTAAAATCTTAACACATCTGGAGAATACCCACGTGGGGAAAGAGTGACCTAATGACCAGATTACTGCTGCTGCCCTGTGTCAGAGAGCTTGGATTTAGCTTCTCGGATGATTTGTGCTACATTGGATAAAGAACAGACATCTTCTGAAAATAATGACTTCCCATGTTTGTTTGTTTACTTAAAACATTTCTACCCAATTGTGGTTGAAAGTCAAATAAATAAAACGTAACTAAACTATACAAATCCAATTCAAAAGAAATTGGCTCAAAGCCCCTAAAAAGCAATTAACAATTTATTAAAGAAACACCTATGGCCAGAACTCCATCCGCATCCCAGCTCTAGTGCCTGGATAAAGAGCCAAGTCTTCCAAAAGTCCAATAGAGATTGCTATTTGAAATTCAGGGAGAAGGCTATACAACAGGACAGTCCTGCTTCCTGAGTTCCACCTGGTAACACGGTTCACCTAGGAAGCCTGGAGCAGACCCACCCTGCCAGATTGGTCTCAGGACTACATATGGTTTTAAAGGTGACAACTTTTCAATAGCATTTGGAAGCCGAGCTGAGACCCAATGCAGGAGTGATCCATGGGCACAGGCGGGATCCATTTTGAACCAGCTGAACTTTCCAAGTGCTTTTTTAAAGGCAGCTCCACATAGACTATGTTGCAATAGTCGAATCAGAAGGTGACTAAGACATGAGTGACAACCAGTAATGCTTACTAATCTAGAAATGGGTGCAACTGAGGCACGAGATGTACTTTTGCAAAGACCCTACTTGAACTGGACCTGCGAGTCTAGAACTCCCAGACTTTGTACAAACTCTGCCTGGGGGAGTGTGACCTGATTGAGAACTATGAATGGTGGAAAATCACTACATACAGGGGATCCTAAAATCCACAGCTAATTTTTCAGAGCTGCTCCATTCTAATCTGCACAGCTTCCAGGCCAAGAAAGAACCTCAACACCTTCACTAAGATGGCCTGGGACAGATGTATAATTGAATATTATCAACATACTGACAATAGTTAACCCTGTGATAAAATGTCCTGATTTAGCAGTTCCATGTAGATGTTAACTTGAAGTAAATGTTCAGAAGTAGTATGCAACAGAATATCAGTTAATTACAGGGAATTGATCTGCCATTAATATTTCCACCTTGGGGGCGTGCCGGAGACTTCTGTTTGGCTTCTGTGGGAGTAGTTTTGTTTTTGGAGAAAAGTGTTGTAAACACTTTTAGCCAACAATTAGAAGGAAGAATGTTAGAAAATATGATTACTATGCTTCAACTTTTTCTGATGAAAAAACTTATCAGACACCAGCAAACTCCACAGAGTAAGCTAAGTAACAAAAACTTTTTGAGTGAGATCCTTGTTTATGCTAAGGAGGTAAAGAAATACAGCAGTACATAATACATCACGTAAGTCAGGTAGTCGTGCTCAGAGTAAAATGGCAGGATTGTCATTTTCCCCTTTCCTCATGGAATGCCTCACATCTGCACCACTTACAAGGCCTTTATTTCAGGGATCAGCAATAGCAGAAGTAAAGGAAATGTGTTGGGCATCTGTTGATGAATTTATTTTTTTCCTAAGATACTTTTTCCCTCAGCTCATTTGGGATTAAGGAAAATTAAATCTGGAAAAAAAGCAGTGAGAGACCAAATTTCTCTGACCAGGAGTAAGAGGGCTGCACTGTGGGCACTAGTGAAATGGCAAGCTTGACTGTAAATAGGAAAAAAAAACAGGCCAGAAGAATTGACTTTGTGACATAATTTGTAGAAACAGGAGATCAGATGGTAAATCACCTGTACTGTACCACTCTGGACTATATGGTCAGAATGCACATGATTAAACACTCCTTCATATTCACTACCATGACTACTCCCAGGATATATACATTCTAGTCCCTCTTTGTGTTGAGGAAAAAGAAAGGGACAATAGCTTCCATCCCAATTGTTTAAGTGAAGGAAGGATTTTTTCAGGGACCGAGCATTCGGTCATGTAGAAAGAAGGCAAAAGTTTGCTACATTGCCTGTTTTACCAAAACTAGGAAGAATCCAACCTGGACAGCCTTTGGGTCTACAAATGCTGTGGCAAAATCTGAGGAGCCCAAACTTCGTATTTCACAGCATAGGATCAGAAGCTGTCTAATAATAGTCTGGGAAGAACCGTGGATGCCCATGAAAGAAGTATATCTGTTTTAATAGGATTCTGAACCAGTTTCTCTGATGGCAAAAAGGGACCAAAGATAGCTTCTGAGTAAATTGGTTTTATATGGAAGGTTTTGTTTTTTTTACTTTCCTATTCTAGCACCATTTTCAAACTTTACCTTAACATCATAATCATTTTCAAATACCCAGCCATTCCAGACCTCACCTACACAGCCTGAGAATCTCTCCTGTCCTACCTCAAGTGCCTCATTTTTGACCCATCTTGTCCTGTTTAAATAGTCTTGACATTCTGGTGTATAAAACCAG